TTGACAACAACAAAAAGTGAGAGTGGGATGCAAAACTCAAAATTACCTAAAATTAAGTAAAAAGAACTTAAATTTAGAGTATTTTTTTCTCTGTGTACGCAATAAATTTTTTTTTTTGTTTTTTCCGTCGATCTTGTTTTCCGTGCTGAGCACCAATGCTACCGACGTGCCAGGAAGGCAGCTCCCACACCTGGACCCTACCTATCGACCCATCAACTCATGAACCGGGGACCAACGGCTTTACTTCCCATCCGAAGGAAGGCGTGATCAGAGATGTTATGCCTCAGAACATCCCGGCGGCGCCGACTGGGATTGAACCCAGGCCTGCTGGGGTGAGAGGTAATCACGCTTACCACTACACCACCGGCGCCGTTACGCAATAAATGAGCATTTTTCACAAATATTGCGTTTTTATAGCTGCCTTAAGAAACTACCGTCGGAAAGCAGGTCCACACTCCTTGGCCATCTCAATAAGGAATGGCTGGGTAATTCCATCCTAGAGGAGATTAGAAACACATTATGGTCGTCCTGATGCCGAAGCAGGGAACCTTGGGACTTTCGTTTGATCTCCCCAAACTGCTAATTCAGCAAGGTGTTGGAGAGTCAACCGTAGACTCGTGTTCTACTTGGATGATAACCGATACCTTAATCCCTGACAGCACGCCTTCCGTCCTCACTGGCACCTACTCTGAACCAGCTTCTCCGGGATACAAGGGACGCTGTCCACCAAGTGGAGCATACCACTCTAGATATTTCCAAGACGAGATTCAATGGGATTCCCCGAAGAGACTGGTACTCCGCAATGAATAGTGTCACTTTGTATTGTTGTCACTTCGGTGTGTACCGCAATCTTCCCAAAGATATTTTCATCAATATGTAACCCGACGACATCGTTCTGGTAGCAATCGGTATCGAAAAAAGGCGTTTCGCAGCAAGCTAATGGTGGCCATAAATGCAGTTCTAAGTTGGATTAGCTTCGTAGAATTTCACCTGACGGTAAAAAAGGGGCCATGCATTAATTATGTCACGTGAAATCAAGGAAAAAATTCCCCACCTTTGTAACGTTTTACCTATACCTAATACTTAGCTATCGTATTATGTTGGAGGTTATGGCTTTCAGTCTGCCAATTGGTCTGTCAATTGGTCGTACCACATGGTTAGTTTGATTGTTAGATCAATTTATGGATTATTGTCGAGTCGGTAGACAAGCTGTTAAAACTGATTGATTTTTCCTTACATATTTTCCCTGATTCCCCACTGTGTTAGAGGTTAGTCGGCTTTAACCCCAACACCTTATAAACATATCTAATATAATGCTACATATTCTAATTTTCAATTGTACTACTGAAAAAGATAGTAAATTTTGATAAAAAATACGGTTTTTACGATGTAAAAACATTAGAAAACGGATAAATAGAATCCAAGATACATCATTTTGACAAAAGTGACAAGTTAATTTTTATTGTGGGCTCGAAGAATGAAGAACATGGAAATGGATGAACGAATACACTCACAAACCAACATATCCATCATCGGGTAGGGGAAGTCTTCCCCTATTTGATGGTAATGTTGATTTGACAGCGAGAGTCAAGCCTTTCGAGAAATCATCGAGAGAAGCCATTGTTTACAAAAGCTGTTACGCATTAATTCCAGCTCTATCTAGAAATCGAAAAGATTATAAAATGAGCTTTTTATTTTTATTGATATTTGAGTATTATACCACTGTATATTGAATATGAATATACCGGTATACCGATATGGGCTTAAGGCATATTCCATAAATTCAGTGTTTGAGAAAATATATGATTCCTTGAATATAGTCGGTGCAATTTCAAGTTACTGTTAAAAATTAAAAAAAAAAATGATTAGGTCAAATTATCTCTTATGGATAACACTGTTCACACTTCTCGTAATTAGGTAACTCAAAACTATTAATGAATATGAAATTTCAATACCGCAATTATCTTTTCTAAAGAAAACATAATTCGTTGTTTTCACACCAAAAAGGCTCTTCCATGCTCTTTTAAATTTCTAACCTTACCTTATATTTTCGAATTATGAAGTATCAAAATGATGAGTTATTCCACTCCGTAATCTCGATTTTTTCCACGCTCCAGCTTTTCCCAGAAATCCTAAGCTAGAGATCTTAAAAATCTGTCCGGATTTTAAGTTTGACAAGAAGTTGTAAAAGTTTCTTTGTGTGAGACTTCAAATAATTATTAAAATGATTCGAAGATTATGACATTTGTATATGTAAGTTTAAATCTTAGATCTTTTGATTTTTTCTAGGAAAGAATTCTCGTAAACTATTCTCTGGTTGAAAAAAGTGTACAGGGTGAGCAAGTTAATGTTCGAATCGTTTTAATAAATTGATTTCGTTTGACAGCATAAAACTTTTTCCTTCTGCATTTGTTACGTAACTTTGAGTTCAAATCTTTCAAATTCAATAAAAAGATGGATCTTTATGGTATACTGGTAATGCACTAATTATAATCGTTGGAAAAGTGAATGGGTTTCGAGGAAGAGTTTAACAGATTTTTGAGAATGGACCTGACAAAATCGAGAAAGCACTGTATGACCTATTGCCTCTTTTTTCAGATAGTGCTCCGTGTAGATGTAGCTACAGGCTTATATGAGAACAGTTAGCTTGTAATTCAGTGGTGCTCCGCATTCTGATAGACACTGACCTATTGTATCAGTTTTCATACCGGCTGCTAAAGGACGTTTGAGTACTTTATAATTCTATAATCTCAGATAACTAAGAGTCGCATTAAAAAAGATGCAGGATTAAAGCGCGTCAGATTATCGAGACCCCGTAACGTGGGTAGATCACCTCTTCGGGGTACGTTACGGGATGTAAGATCTTCCACCGATTCCTAGTCCTGAGTACTTTAAGCTAGAGGAACAGGATTTTTCAGTAATCAAAGAAACAACTTATTCCTTGTTATTTTGTATGCCTTGTTAATAGTGATAAGTCCTCCGGTTGGCTGGACCGAGGATGATCTTGAAACAAGGAAAACATGAGTTAGTAAGTATTCATCTATGTGACTCTTAATCTTCTATTCGTTGTTCCCTAGTTTGAAGGGATTATGACTAGGGTTCTGATGCATGGTCATCGGTGCCATTGTTTAATTTTTTCGCTAAGGAATCTAATTTTGACAGACAAAATGGCGCGCCTTTGAATGATGCTATCGAAGTGTATAAATAACGGGGCATCTCAATTAGAATCGATTCCTTGCGATGAAGGCAAGAATTACAACTGTAACATAACCGAATAAATCGTCATTTCTCAATAGTAAGTATTACAGTCTAACATTAGATCATATAACTTTTTTTTGCCTTGATTTGTTTTCCGTCACAACTTCTGAACCTCCCTCCCCCCTAAAATGTTACGACAATTAGGCATGTTCTCTAAGGAAAAATTGACTGTTCTAGAATTTGTGAATAGCTAAAATGTCCAGAAATGTGTATTACCAAAATCGGTACCAGCTTTTAATTTCGTTATTTTCGTTGCTTTTGGTTAGTTAAAGGGGAGGGGATAGGCAATTGTCTTTGGTTCAAATAAATAAAAAAAAACGGAAGGGCAAAGGTCTAAATTCTCACAAAATCTGTCTATATTGTTTATAGACAGGCCCATATCAATTTTTACAATGGAAAACACTAACCATGAAAAGTAGCTGCATGAGTTATTTTGAAAATTCAACGCCTGCACTAAACTACCACATACTAACTTTTTTTTAAATTCATCATTTATTGGTATTTTTGTCTAGTTACAATATTATTTTTGTCTAGGTATAATATAGTGCATATATTTTTACATTTTTTGTCTGTAGCCTTATTTTTAATGTTTTTATAGATACTATGTAAACTCAGAACCTCGTCAGTCGAAAATAGTTTCGCATCATTTTATTATCTGAAATTGGGATGCCAATTTATGAACATTTTTGAACCCTCTTAAATTGTCAGATTGACAGGTGACGCCGCCAAACATGAAGCATAGAGTTTAAGAATTAATCGAGGAATCAGAATTCTTAGGCTCTAGCTTTTAATCTCATCTAATTGTACATTTTTCATTCTGAACTCATGAGAAATGTTTTCGAAATTAATTAGTATTCGGCCAAATGACCCATTCCGCCAATCGGCATTCGGTCAAATAACCCATCCAGCCAATTGGCGTTCGGCCAAATGTGATTCGGTCAAATGGCATTTGACCAAATGGGATTCGGTCAAATGGCATTCGGCCAATCGGCATTCTGTCAAACGGCATTCTTCCGTGAAACCCGGAACCGTTTAAAACGTGCGTTGCTGATTCAGATCGGTCGAAAATCAAACAGAGCGGTACCTAGCCATTTTAAACTGAACGAGACAGCATTGACCGAAATTGTATAATAAAATTTTCTTTTTTGTTAAGATTCTTGGAATCCCTCCGAGTGAACTTCAGTCGACATACTCTTCTAAACGAACCGCCCCGGTGTTCGGGTGCAAAGGGATCAAGGAAATAAAGTATATATTTCTTCATTTTAGCTTGATAGTCGGCGATAAATGATTAGTGGCATGAAATAGGAATACACCTACCTATTTCAGCGCCCACCAGTTTTATTGGATTTAGTTGTTCACAATAGCGGCTTTCACAGTTTTCTTAATTTATTCCGTTGACTGTACGCTACACAATCTTGGTAGGTGTTGTTTAAAATCAGGCCTACCTGTAACGGACGCACGTGTGTGGTCATATATTATTTCAGGGATGCAAACTTCGCACTCTCGTATACGGATTTAGATAGAAATTGGGTAGAATGAGAAAACACGGATTACACTGCGGGGGTTGGTCCTGAAGTTAACAACATGGTGTGCTCGCTTGAGTAAATTATGACTTTGTTGAATCATTCTCCCTTTACTTTGATAAGCTCGTCTATGCGCTCGTTCAAATGATTCAATTTCGAAACTCATTGATTAACAATCGCTCGTCATTAATGTACTGTTTCATCTCTTTGCTTTTTCAGGGTCTAGAGATCCCCAATCCTGTTGGTACACCTACGGTCGCTAAGCTGCGCCCAAAAAGTAATTTGACAACCGAACGAACTGACTCGTATCGCTTTTCGATGGCAAATTTAGAGGAAACACACGAAGCCGAGCTTGACGCAATTTTGGGAGAGCTAAGTATTCTGGAGCAGCGTGGAGAACTGCGTCAATGTAGAAGTCACAGCCGAACCAATTCGACCATTTCAGCAGCCACGAATGCTACTATTTCATCGGAAAGTGGTTGCAGTAGTGTTCCGGATAGTAGTTCAGCCAGTATAAGCTCCTTGCGTGAACCACGAACCGACAGTCCTGACAATGATTCAGCATTCAGTGATACCGTTTCGCTCATGTCGAGTGAATCGTCTGCTTCCAGTAGCGTTAGTACACATTTGAAAAACCTCCAGCAAAATGTTGCCAATGCAGTCGAATCTGGCAAACAAGCAAAGATTCATCTGGCACTGCAAAAACTCGAGCAGGCAACAGTGAGACGGCTGTTTGTGAAAGCTTTTTCAGCAGATGGTGCTTCCAAGTCGCTACTGGTGGATGAGACAATGACGTGTGGGCATGTTACTAGACTACTGGCCGACAAGAATCATGTTCAAATGGAACCGAACTGGGCGATCATCGAACATTTGCCCGAACACCAAATGGAGCGCTTGTTCGAGGATCACGAACTGTTGGTTGATAATTTGATGCTGTGGAGTAGAGATTCTAAGAATCGAGTTATGTTCCTTAAACGGCCAGACAAGACTTCTCTATTCAAGACACCGGAATTGTTCCTACCGGGGACACAGATGGCTCCTGGCAGTGACCATGATGAGCACACTAGGTAAGTTTAACCATTTTTTTAAGCATATTGTTTGCCTCATTACTTCAAAATAATATATTTGAGTGTAACTACTGAATCATTATAATGGTCTCGTATTATTATTTGCAGGGTTATGCTTCTGGATGAGTTCTTCTCCGGTAACAATCAGATTCCCCTGGAGGGGCCGTTATATCTGAAGAGTGATTCCAAGAAGGGCTGGAAAAAATATCACTTTGTACTAAGGGCATCGGGTCTGCACTACTACCCAAAGGAGCAGAAAATGCGTTCAGTGAAGGATCTTCTTTGTTTGGCTCTGTTCGCCGGCCATGAGGTGTACCGAGGAGTGGGTTGGAAAAAGAAGCATAAAGCACCGACGGATTTCACATTCGGACTGCGATGTCCCAAGGTGCCACCGGGTGCCAAAGGAATACGATCCGTGAAGATGCTTTGCGCTGAGGATGCTGCGACGCTGGAAAACTGGGTAATGGCACTAAGAGTCACAAAGGTAAATATTGTTGCAAATGAGAAATATTGTTGTAAATGAGAAATAGTTTGAATAATCGCTGTTTTGTACTTCCAGTATGGCAAGAAATTGCTGGATAACCATCGATCTCTTACGGATGATCTCGCTCGAGAGGAACTGGACAAGCTGTCGTCAGCACGAAGTGGTTCCATGGGTAGTATTGTATCATCCGTTCCGTCGCAGTGCAGTGGCAGTAGCAGTAACAGCAGTGGTAGTGGTACAAATCATTTAGTTCCTGTCCACAATAATGGACGACTGTCTCGCGCATCAAGTTCTAGTTCAAGTGGTTGCCTGTCCGATGAGAATAATGGATTCGATTCGGAGTTTCCTACCGGTACGATAAAGCGGAAGCCCTCGATGAAACCAAATCTACCTTTGACATCAATGACACGGCAGTTGAAGGAAGTGGGAGAAACTACTCGATTGAATGATTCCTCGCCCACGTCACCAGAACGAGGTGGCACCTTAACTCGGCGTCATAGTCGAAGGAGAAGCGAAGAGAGCAACAATAGTGGAACATTGAAGCGAAGGCCTGTAAATAACCGAGGATCAGTAGAAAGCATGAGCTCTTCAGCTTCGACTCCAACGCCAACTCCGACCAACAGTGTACCGGGAACTCCGGTAATTCATCAGCAGATGCCAACACTAGTTATTAATAGCAATTTAGTGAAAAATAGTTTAAATATTACTCAGCAGGATAATGTAACTCCTTCAACGAAACCGATCACTCTGCTGGAAGCGATGCCTTCTTGCATGACAGATTCCACATTCTCGCTGCCTCCACCGCCGGATGATCTTGGTACAAATTTCTCAGGTTCTACATTATCACTAGATTCGCTACCCCCACCACCTCCTCCAAACGAGTTGGATAATAGTTTTAGTGGATCTCAGTTGTCGTTAGTAAGTGTCCAAATGCCTCCACCTCCGCCACCAAACCTAGTGTCTGTGCAATCTCAACCAATGATGGAGGACATTAACATGATTTATCAACCAATAGTCTCTGCCACGGTTGCAATGGCTTCCACGGCCTCTACACCTCAGAGCATAACTCCAACAAACGAGAATCTCGAAGTTACTAATAGCATTAAGCAATCAATTTTGATGTTCAATAGTCAAACGCTGCCATCTCCGGTAACCAATAACAATATCAAACTCGAGCCAATATACTCAAAGACTTTGAAGCCATCCGCCCTGAAGGCTCCTCCATATAAAGCTCCACCGCCATACAATGGAGATGCTTCGACGCCTCAAACTCCTCCGCCACCGCCGGCTAAAAGCGTGTCGTTTGCCGAATCTCCAGTACTGCTGAGGCGCAAAGTGTGCTTTGAGGACGAAGTGCAGGAGATGCCAATCTCACCTCGTAGAACATCTCGCGATGTTTACTCTGCACCACCGCTTCCACCTCCAAGGGCCGAAGCGACACGTCTATCGACTTCCTATACTTCCCCAAAGCGTTTGAGTGATTCGGCATCGAATCCTCCGAGAGATTTCCTCAAAGACTTACAAAGAGTTATGAATAAGAAATGGCAGATTGCTCAAAAATGTAAACTCGAACCGGCAACTACTCCGCACGAGGTACTCGGTTTCCGGGATCTGCCGGCTGAAAACTATTCATCTCATTACTACAGGGAATCGGCTAACGTAAGCCATTGGGTTCAAGAACATTACGGTTCTGATAGTATGTATGAAAACCTTGGCAGTAACATGGGCGTCGAGCCGGCTTATCCAATTTCGCAACCACCGGTAGTCGGTGGTGGACCAATCAAGAAAAGACCACCTCCACCACCCCCAAAGCGTAGCGAAAAGACACAGCTCACAACAACTGCGACGCCTCACCAAAGGTTATAAGATTGGGCCTTTCTCGGATTCTCCGACTGTTTGTTGACGGTGAAGAGAACCGTCCGATGTGAACGAATTACCAATGGGTCTTCATGCAATGTTAGTGAAGTGTAAATAGTGACATAGTAGTTGATGTGGATTGGGTTCAAACGCGAAAAACCCAATCTAAATACGATTTGGCTTAACAGAGAAGAAATAGACTGGGATTAGTCACAATATGACTTGAGAGATAGTCAAAACCGAATGTAGCATTGTTACGTATAGATCGCCATACACGCCGACATGTGTCGGGCAAGATATTGCCGAAACTCGATTAGAAAAGAGTTGTAATTGTGATGAGTTTAATGGGACGTGACGTAATTTATTATTGTAAGTAATGCAAATATTAGACTAAAGTACTTTAGATTCAATATATTTTACACAACCACTCACACAAATTACACTTGTACACTATTATACTTCTGCTTATCTGAGCCGATTAGGTGAATGATTTAGTGCAGTTTTCTCTGTTTGATTGACACGTTTCGGTCTAGATAATGCTAAGACATCTCAATCACTTTTGAATCAAATAACTATCTTGAATCAACACGAACAATATGAAGATGAAATAAATTTTGGCTACATGTGTACATCATATGTTTTTTTTTTGTTCAAAGTTTTCATGACATGTATGTAAAATTTATTATTAATTTGATGGAAACACTATTTTATTAAAGTTATTGTGCCATAGGCTGACCTTGTGAACAAAAAAGTAATATTCAAATATTTATTGTTGTAAAAGATTTGTACTATTCGAGGTAAATTGTACTCAAAGTTTAATTCGATTCCTAATTGATCAGTTAGTTCACACCTATCTTCGAATGAAACTCTACTACTTTGGCTCATTTGTTATGTGTTTTTAGTTGAAGGATGGTACGAAATCACATCACTTTGTAACTTTCTCGTGAACGCTACCACGGAACAAGATATTTGCACTGGCAACGGTAGTTTATATGAAGTAGAATTTATCCGGGAAACAATAACTATACGCGATGAAGTTTTTACAACAAAATATACACATGCAATTTTGGAATAAACGGTTTTGTACTGTCCACGTATTGGACTTTAAAATATACAGAAAGGAAATATTAATAAAAATTGGTGCTTTCATAAAAAATAAAATAAAAATTAACAATAAAATAAAACATAAACAATAGCAAACAAACATCAGAGAAATGAGCCAACCGCTGAATGTTGCTTATAGCGCAAAGTTAGGACAAGATTACATATTTGATAAGCATCGGATACTCTGAACGTAAAAGGAAACAAATGCCAATATGTAAAAGGAACTTCCTTCGTAAACTTTTAATCGGATTATTCTAGAGAAAAGCGAGTTAAAGTGTTCTTTTAATTCTTTACGCTAAAACAGAATACATAAACTAATACCATAGAATATTCACGCAGAAGAAGAAGGCATGCAGCCAGTAGGAATACTGAAAGCAAATTATGCATGTGGATCACAACAAAAAAATTAAAATGAAAGCCGTCTCGACTATTTTAAGTTCAATCACTATCAAATGAAGCTGAATATCAGTGGAAAAGGGTATAGCAGCGCATACTCATGGAGTGAACTATAGAAGAAGAAAGGATAATGGAATCTAACTGATGGTAGATGGAAAGAAGAGAGCTAGAGAGCGAGAGAGGATGAAAATTCAATTTTTATGAATTTGTCATTGATACTATCTATATTCGTAAAACTATTGCGCAATCCTATCTTTATTGTAATGATTGCGAAACGATTCAAATTACGTGAAATAAATATTAAAAAGGTAATAAAATCGTGGTTGGTTATTTATTGAGAAACTGAAATTTGATTTAAGCTGAGTCGGTCACATGTACTCCTGGTGATGTTCGAGCTTGAGAATAAATTTAAAATATTTTGAATTTACTTGTTTTTTTTTTATTACTTAGTGGTTCGATTTTGTGACTTTGTTATCATTGATTTCATAAATCTAGGATAACATAACGAAAACTAAATTTGCGATCACTTTTTGTCAACAAATTCAGACACTGTTGTATATTTATCCGTTAACAACCAAAAATTGATTTGGTTCCATTGTGTATTATTGTTATGGGAAAATAAAGTACATCCCAAACAATCATTCCATGCCGTCCATGATTTAAATTGGCCCTTATTACTGATGTCACTGCACGGAGAAGTGAAAGCTTCAAAAACGGTGAAGTGATTCCTATTTGATTTACACGGCAATCACTTCCAGCGTGCCTTCCATTCATTTAGGTAAAAAAATGTTTTATGAAGCTATGGAATAATAAGATATTATGATGATATTTTGTTTGTGAAAGCAACAAGAAAAGATTGTGAAAGTAATTTTCGTTCTATGTAAATTTAGATCTACAGGTTTTGTTATTAAACGTGGTGGTGCCATCATCTTTTAATTTTTTATTCGGGTAGTGAATTTCGTTCATCCTTGTACAGGTCTATGGCATGTTTAATCGAACATTCAAGCTCTTCTTGTATGCGAGTAGGCTTTAAAATTTTATTGCATACAACATTAATATCCCCTACTTTGAAACGCTTTAAATAATTCAGAGTTTAATTTCGAAGCCAATTTTTAAGTGAATATCTGATTTATTGCATGAAATATTGTACACAAGATGTATTAAAAAGTCCAAGCTAAACATTGAGCTTTTATGTTTCTAACAACTTTATCCGAACGAAAACTTTTCCTCAATTTTTCTGAGATAGCGTTATGCTTACATAAAAGAAACTACCCAAAATAAATGCGGTAAAAGTTTCCACATACACAAATCGGCCGAGGAGTGCGGTGGGTGGTTCCGCTAGCACACCGCTATTTCTCGGGTGTTTTCAAAACCCTGTTGACTAATTATTTGATTGTGTTTAGTGTCAATCGGTGATCAGAAAATCAGCTCAACTGGTTCAAGTATAGCTGAGAGAATCGGTACGTGAACGGCACCACCCACTACTCTCTTCGGGGGATTCCTTCCGTTCAATCTCGCTCAAATTTGGATTCGTTTAGAGGTGATCCATTAAATACGTCATGCTCTAAGGGGCAGGGGGATTCAGCAATATATTTTGGATTTCTAACCGAACTTCTCAAGAATGAGGAATTGGAATAAAGACTGTACTCGAAAAAAATGCAACACACAAAAATGATCACCAAAAATTCATTTTATGTCGGATATTTTTGAAACTCTCAGGGAATAAATAAACACATAATAGCTATTTTTTTGCAAAGTTAGTTTATTAAACCTCCTCTCCTCACCGGTTTCACATAATGGCACGATGCCAGATCCGGCCAAAACAGAGTGTCACCTTCGTGGGACCGGAGGAAGGACAGCAGGCGCTTCTGGAGGCATTCTTCTTTATATATTTGGCCGTTGATGGTGCCGGTCGTTATGTACGGCTTGCTGAACTAAGTACTTCTTTAATAGAACATTTTTTAGCCAAAATGAATGGAAGGAACTCGGTTATAAGTATTGCTGTCAATTGACATTTGAGCAGTTTTCACATATACACGGGAGAGGCAATAATTGCTGCAATTTCCAAACCTATCGAGTAGATGCTTACGGCAGATGGCGACTTGAGTGTGAAACAATCGATAGAACTGTTTTCGCACATCGAAGGTACGTGAGCAAATCGGCGATCATCTCTTTTACCAGTGGTGGCGGCGGAGATACCCCTCTCCATGCATCCCCAACAGGAGAGTTTGATAAAGGAGATGGTCAACCCGATTCGTGCCTTCCTCAAAATTTACCTTTGCTCGCTTTCTACTCTCTACATACAATTTTCACACCTCCTTACTGTAATGGAACTATTAACTCGATACTTTCATATCCTCATCTATCGTATAAAATGACCACTTTAAGTCTGATATTTGACATTAAGCATTTCCAACTAGGTTTTTATAAGTTTTTTTTTGCTGAAATGAATGTTTGCATTAGAATACACGATACTCGATACACGATAGAATATACGATACTGAAAAGATATGTTTTGCATATTTACACGTTAGTATATTCTCTCAGGAGAGCTCAATGAAAGATATTTTGGAATGATTTCCCGAACACTGATTGGAAGTATGAAAAATCAGGAAATGAGTTTTAAGTAGAAGTATCACCCCCGTGTATTGAATGGGATTTGTGGGTTCAAGTCCCACCGGTTGACGTAGGTTTTTTTTTCACAAATTTTCTGATACACACGTGTTTTTCCGATCATGTGTGTTTTGCTTTGCAGTACACAGATAAAAATTCTAATTTTTTTATAGTGATGTAAACATTCATTCACGTAAACTTGTATTTAATTTCACGCAACCGAGCAACTTGTAAACAATGTTGTTTACAAATATGAGCTTCTGTATACAATATTTGCTACATTGCATGAAATGTCTCAGAACTTTACATGATATATAATGTAAACTTATATGATATGGACGCTCTATTCATGTGCATCATACTGAACAGAAATTTTCACTACTTTTTCGAACTGTTTCTGCATATTGGCGGTATATGAGAAAACCGGGCGTCCATTTCTTTTGCCAGTCTCAGTAGAAAGTCACCAATGTTTCTCCGAGCCTATCAAATAATGTTTTGAGGACAGATTTTCCAAAATCTTTAATAACAAACCAGGCTTTCGTGGTGGTAAGCTTTAAGCTCAAGCAAAAAAATAATTTTAATATCACATCAAAGTGGATGCACTTCAATCGTGTCGAAAATATGGTGTAATATTACCTGCGAAAAATGGCAAAATTATCATTAATACAGTGCATGAACTGACATTAGGTTGCTTTTACTGCGTTTGTTTATTTGTGTGGCCAAACAAATTACATGAGATTTTCGACATGATTGAAGTGCATCCTCTTGGATGTAAGATTAAAATTTATTTTTTGCTGTGTAAACAAACTTTAATTAGCATATCTCTGAGTTACTTTCTCACATTAAACTTATAATTTCTGGTGAATCTCTGAACATTAAGATCCTATCACGAATCATTGGGCACTATAGCAAATATTGGTCCTATGGGCTAGGCGTCCAATTCAATAATTTCAATGTACTTAAGCTTTAATTTACCGTTTACTAATATGTTTAAGCAACATCTAATGTCGCCAATTAAGTTTAAGCTATGTTGATTTTATCCTATCGTTAGAAATAGTTAGTATTAGATTATGAATTCATCCTCATCGTTTTACGTAATGCATGCGTTACCTTTGTGTGCGAACAGATAGCACGAACTTGCACGAATAGATTACAAATCACCAGGATAATCACTTAACATACTGATAGCTGGCGTAAGTATTATTTATGTAACCTACTTTTAAGCCTACTTGTATATATTTCACCAGTAGAGCTAATTCACGTATCATTGTTTATAATTGATCAATGTTCTGATCTCCAATGACGTTTTCTATCTATCTTTCCCTCTTCGTTGATGGTTGATCGGCCACTGTGGTGATCGTAGCTCGTCCAACCACAGTTGAATTCCGACGGGGTCTCATCATCATCATCATCAAAACTGTGAAGTTTTTTTTTTTTTTAACTCTTTATTTGTTCCAAATTCAAAATAAATTACATTTTATTTTAACCTAGGTGCTCTAGTTACTACAGTAACTTATCAGCCTTAATTGTTATGATATTTATCTAAGTGTTTTTACATTGTTCCTGCCTTGACAATTCAGTATTTTAAACAGGTTTTTTTTTAAATCTGCATGTCAGTATAGCAATTGTCATCTTAAAACTAAAAACTAAAACTAAATCTTATCTAAGTATTAAGGGAATGAATCGTTGCAATTGAGGATTGCAACGATTTTTGCCTGAAATTATTAATTATTTTGTTGGACATTTGTTCTAAAGTCTCAACATTCTAAATCCTATGTACTTCGGTAGAACTGTACCAGGGAGGCAACTTCAAAATCATCTTCAGAACTTTGTTCTGAATCCTTTGAAGTGCTTTGGCACGGTCTAAAAACTTGTTTAAATATTAGAAGTTTATTCGTCAGGCAAAGTTTGGATTTCCAGTTTATTAGAGGATACAAACATTTTATATATTTATTACATTTGGCTTGAATGCCCTCAATGTGATCTTTAAAAGTTAATTTTTGGTCAAGTATTAATCCAAGATATTTCACTTGGTTTGACAAGGAAATTGGAACTCCACTCATAGTAACTATGTGACTACTACTAGGTTTCAAAAACCAAGCTCCAGGCTTATGTGGAAATATTATAAGTTGAGTTTTGGAAGCGTTGGGAGAAATCTTCCATTTTTGTAAATAAGAAGAGAAAATATCTAAACTTTTCTGCAGTCTGCTGCAAATAACACGAAGACTTCTTCCTTTAACGGAAATGCCTGTGTCATCAGCGAACAAAGATTTGTGGCAACTTTGAGGCAAATAAGGGAGGTCCGAAGTGAAAATGTTATACAATATAGGCCCAAGAATGCTACCCTGAGGAACTCTTGCCCTAACAGGTAGTCGTTCAGATTTGGAATTTCGGTAATTTACCTGCAGAGTTCTGTCAGTTAAATAATTTGGACCTAATTTCATAATATAAAGTGGAAAATTAAACTTTTTCAATTTAGCAATCAAACCTTCATGCCAAACACTGTCGATTGCTTTTTTTATGTCTAGAAGAGCAACTCCAGTTGAGTGGCCTTCAGATTTGTTTGAACGAATTAAATTGGTAACTCTTAAGAGTTGGCGACCATGGCGAAATCCAAACTGCTCATCTGCAAAAATTGAGTTCGTATTGATGTGAAGCATCATTCTATTCAAAATTATCTTTTCAAAAAGTTTACTTATTGAAG